TCCCCCTTTCCCAGGACCCTGACCTACAGGAGAGCGCGGGGTTCCCCTTCCCGCCGCAGAGGCCAGATTTTCACATTCCTGTGACCTGAGCTTTGGCTGAAGGTCGCTCAGCCTCTTGGCACCAGCTCCAGGGGCCTCTCCTGGCCTCCAGGGAGCAAGGGCCTGGCCTTCCCCCTCCCCGTGCTGTCTGGGTGGGAAGGTCTGTCCAGACAAGTGCTTGCCACCTATCTCTCTCTATATATATAAGTCTGTAAGTAAGGATAAAGATGTGCTCTAGACCTGGATATAGATGCATCTTAGTGGTTCCAGTTCTCCGGAGAACCTTAATACATTGGTGAAACTGGAATGAAATAGAGTTCAGTTAATAATAATGCATCATTGTTGGTTCATTAATCGTGACAAATGTACCATAATAACATGAAATGTTGATAATAGGAAGCGACTTCTCTGTACATTTAAAACTGTTCTAAAATCAAAAACTTCTATTTTAAAATGTGTTGAATTCCTCTATACATTTAAGTGTATTTTACGAGTAACTACTTTACAAGAAGACTAATAAAACAATGTTATGTTTATTTATTTTAATGTGAATAATATAATAATCTCAGAAAGTGCTAGGAAACTATGAAATTCACAGCTTATATGAAATATAGAGAAATACAGAATTAATATATGATTTAATATAAAAAATGAAAAAAAATATTACCTAGGTGGCAAAACTTATAAGGGCAATATTTTTAAATGATTACAAGAAATTTCAATAGTTATATCTTATAAATAATAACATAAACTTGCTTTATATGAATTTTTTTTTAAGACAGCCTATGTAAAGCAAAATACAACTATAGGGTGTCCTCAAAAATGTACACACACACTTTGAATAATTATAAAAGCAGTGTTTGTTAAGATACATTTCATTTTCAAAATGTCATAGAACCAGCTGCTAAAGTGTTTGTACATTTTTGGGGACAACCTGTATGTTAGTATATTTGACTGGATTAACATTTTATGCGATACTGCTAGAACGCCACTAGATGTCAATCTTTCCCATCTTTTGTCACTGAAAGCCATGCCAGATGGATTTTAATGTGTTTTTTTTTGCTATTTGCAAAATGTAGGATGTAGTGAAGATTCATTTCAGTGCAGATGCAGAATCCTGTTTAGATAGGAAATCATTTTTACAGCGAGCAATATTTAGTATGCACAGCCAGCAGAAAGCATCCAGATGCTAACACGCACCATGGATGAATGCTCTCACTCCTGCAGGCAAACAGGGTCCCAGAACTACATACCTTACTTCTCAACTCACAACTGCCTGAAAGGTGGCTACTTTTTTGTACAGGAAAGCAATATTAAGTTACCAAGGGCAAACACTTTTATATAGATCTGTTCAGTCTGACTTCAAAAGCTTACCCTTTTTAAGATTCATCTCAGATCTTATTTGCAGATTTTTGCTCTCACATTCCTTTTTCATAAGATGTTCTATGACCATCTATAGTCGATTTATCAAATATCCTATATAATAAAAGGCTAATATGCAAATAGACTGAACAGCAGAACAACCGAACATTTGGTCACTATGACATGCACTGACCACCAGGGGGTGCAAGTGGGGCCGACACCGTCAGCTCATGGGAGTGGTGGTGGTGGGAGCAGGGCTGCTGGCAGACAGGGGACCGGGGTCCACAGCATGAGGGGCCAGGTGGTGGTGCGGAGGATGGGCTGAGACCTGCCCCTGTGCCTACTGCAGCCTTATAGCCCACAGTTCCTTTCAAGGTGCACGAATTCATGCACTGGGCCCCTAGTGTTCTATAACAATATTTGCTAACATTTCTTTAATACTTGCCATATCCCAGGCCATTTTAAACACCGTTGTTAGTGCATTTAAGCTTCACAATAATTCTTTGAAGGGTGAAAGACTGTTAGTAGCATTCTACAGATTTGTAAACTGAGGCACAGAGAAGTTGATGGTTTGGCAGAGCCACAGTCTAGCTTAGGCCATTGGTGACAGACCTTACACCATACTTCTATGTAGGGCACCCCCTGCAAAGCCCCTGCCAAAAATACCGAGAAGCTAATGCTCACTATATTTAGCAAAGAATAAAAAATAGTTTTAAAATTTAGAGGAATTTAGCTGTATCTAAAAAGAGATAGCAGCAGGAAAAAATATTAGATTTTTAATGTGAAGAGTAAAATACTTAGAGTCCTAAGTAATCTATGTGGTCTACAGCTTATATAAAATTGTAGAAGGATAAAGAATTAGTATATTATTCAAAACAAAACACCTATATTGATTATTTAGAAACATAACAACTTCAAAATGGGTGTTGAAATATATCCAGGACAATAATTATTAGGTGAGATCATAGGAAATTGCCAATAGTATGCTGTTTTGAACCAGAAAACAGAAACTTTATGTTACAATCTTATACCTTGGATAAATGGGTTCAATAACATTTGTTAACATTCAATATTTTTTCTCACTTTTAAGCATTTACTTTATGATACATTTATCAGTAGAAAGTGAAAGAAAGAATATATATCTATAATAATAAAAGCGTAATATGCTAATTAGACGAGACAGCCGAACGACCTTCCGAACACTATTCCGGACATCCTTCTGGATGAAGCTGCAGAGGCGGGGGGCAAAGAAGAGGTGGTTAGGGGCGATCAGGCAGGCAGGCAGGTGAGCAGTTAGGAGACAGCAGTCACGGATTGCAAGAGGGATGTCCTACAGGATCGGGCCTAAACTGGCAGTCGGACATCCCCCGAGGGGTCCCAAATTGTGAGAGGGTGCAGGCTGGGCTGAAGAACACCTCCTCCCCAGCCCCGTGTACAAATTTTGTGCACCAGGTCTCTAGTAATTAAATAAAAACCCACAAACAATCCAAAAACTGTTTTATAAATATTTTTATAAAGAATTTATCAGGCTTTCAAAGTAAAAACAGCCCCTAATTCTATTCTATGAAGAGTTCAATTTCCCAAACTGCAACATCAAAATAGTCAAATTTTCCCCAAAAAATGTTTTTTAATATTTGATTTCATTTATTCTTTTAATTAGTAGAGCAGAAAACAAAGACCTTGTAATAATTGACAGATCAGTATAATGTGTCAATTTCATTTTATGGGTTAAAGTCTGCTAGGTCTGATATTATAAAAGCTACGCTAGCTTCCTTTACATTAGAATTTTCACTTCATCCATACAATTATATTCAACCTTTCTGTATTCTTACATTTAAACTGTGTCATTGATAAACAATATAAAGTTGTTGCTTACAGCTTACATTCAGAGGAGATTAAATTTGCCTCTACAGCAGACTGGGCTGGGAGCTCTAGGCATCCAAATCACCATAATCCAATAAAAAATTAAGACGATTTCAATCTGGGGTTAGGTCTCTCTTAGACTGGTCTCTTTCCA